CTAGAAAGGACTCCAAGATCACTCAGTCCAGTTTTGTCACTTTACTGAGGGGAAACAGGCCCAGAGAGGGTAGATGAGGAGCCTGTGGTCACACAGCAGGCAAAGCAGAGTGAGGCCATGAACTCAGCTCTCTTGTCCAGAGCCAGGCATGTCGGATCCCTACCGGGGCATCCTGAGGCAGCCCTGGGACGGCATCACTGAGGCTGCTTCAACCGAGGCTGTCACCGTGGGGCAGGGAGTCCTCCATGGGCTGACTCACTGCCTGGGGACGCAACCGCCACACAGCCGCCTGTGCCAAGGCCCTGCTGGCCCCTCGGGCTCCAGGAACAGAAGCCAGATTCCTGCCGCCCAGCCTGAGTCAGACTGACTCGTTTTTGTGTATTTTCTCTCAGCCCCACACCACCCCAAAACTGGGTGGGAACTCCGAGCAGCACAGCAAAGTGAGTCGACCCTGGGCTGAGTAATCCGGAGTGGGGAGTTGGACGGGACCTGGAGTGATGAAATCCGAGGGGAACCCGGAGTCAGCAGTTGAAAGGGCCCCACCTTTCCCAGGTGCATATAAAGGTGCCTGGAATTCGAGGCAGCCACAGCATCTTCCCAGCCTCTCTGAGCACCTTTCTCTTCTCTCCTCCACTCGCTCAGTCGCTCACCTCTCTCCTCAGCACCATGACCACCTGCAGCCGCCAGTTTACCTCCTCCAGCTCCATGAAGGGCTCCTGTGGCATCGGTGGTGGCTCCAGCCGCATGTCCTCTGTCCTGGCCGGAGGGTCCTGCCGGGCCCCCAGTGCCTACGGGGGGCTGTCAGTCTCCTCCTCCCGCTTTTCCTCCGGAGGAGCCTGTGGGCTGGGGGGCGGCTATGGCGGCGGCTTCAGCAGCAGCAGCAGCTTTGGTGGGGCCCTGGGTAGCGGCTTTGGCGGAGGATATGGTGGTGGCCTTGCTGCCGGCTTCGGCGGTGGCTTCGGTGCTGGCTTCGGCGGTTTCGATGGCGGCCTCCTCTCTGGCAACGAGAAGATTACCATGCAGAACCTCAACGACCGCCTGGCCTCCTACCTGGACAAGGTGCGCGCCCTGGAAGAGGCCAATGCCGACCTGGAGGTGAAGATCCGCGACTGGTACCAGAGGCAGAGGCCCAGTGAGGTCAAGGACTACAGCCCCTACTTCAAGACCATCGAGGACCTGAGGAACAAGGTGGGTGGACTATGTGGGTGAAGCATTGAGAGAGGTCATGTGTGCAGTGGCCCTGAGAAAACCACTTACTTGCTAGCATCTCCATTTTGTAAACAGGGGGACTGAAGCTGGCCTTGAAGGAGTAGCCAAGGGCCACTCAGAGAATTGGTAGCAGAAGGTCCTTTTTCAGCATCTAAGTGTCTGAGCTGAGCCTGGACCCCTGTTCTCCTATTCCTTGCAAGCGTTCTTTGCAATGCACCCTCGGCTTCTCTCAGCCTTGGGCCCAGGATGGGGTGGGTGGTGGGAGAGGTGGGATGCATCTCCTACATTCCCTGAACTGGGTGGAGAAGGCACCCCAGGCTGGCTGGGGGAGCATAGGGCATGACCCGTCAGCCAGGCGACCCCCAAATTTGGGGAAGCTCCTTTCTCCTCTCTGTGCTCTTCACCCCTGAGCAGCAGGATCTTGGCTAACCCAGCCTCCTGTCCTTCACCCCCTCTGCAGATCATTGCAGCCACCATCGAGAACGCTCAGCCTATTCTGCAGATTGACAATGCCAGGCTGGCAGCCGATGACTTCAGGACCAAGTGAGCAGCCATGGGGTGGGCCGAGGGCAGAGAGTATAGGGCAGGGAGCGAGCAGTGGGGCCGTTTATCCAGGAGGACCAGCACGTATTGAGCCTCAGAAGCCTCACGGATGGAACCTCATGCCCTGACCTCTGTCTTGCCAGGTATGAGCATGAGCTGGCCCTGCGCCAGAGCGTGGAGGCCGACATCAATGGCCTGCGCAGGGTGCTGGACGAGCTGACCCTGGCCAGAGCCGATCTGGAGATGCAGATCGAGAGCCTGAAGGAGGAGCTGGCCTACCTGAGGAAGAACCATGAGGAGGTGAGGTCACTGCTGGTTCAGTGGGGTTGCAGATGCACCTGGGGTCAGGAAAGGGATCAGCTGACCTGACCACTTCCCGCCATCCCTTCCTAGGAGATGCTAGTCCTGCGGGGTCAGACCGGCGGGGACGTCAACGTGGAGATGGATGCCGCCCCTGGAGTGGACCTGAGCCGCATCCTGAATGAGATGCGTGACCAGTACGAGCAGCTGGCCGAGAAGAACCGCAAGGATGCCGAGGCCTGGTTCCTGAGCAAGGTGGGGCTCAGGTCCTCAGCCCTCCTGAAGAACTGCTCCGCCCGCGAGTGCCTCTGCAGTGCCTCACACCTTCCGCTCTTCTTTCTCATCTCAGACCGAGGAGCTGAACAGAGAAGTAGCCTCTCACAGCGAACAGGTGCAGACTAGCCGCAGCGAGGTGACGGAACTCCGGAGGGTGCTCCAGGGCCTGGAGATTGAACTGCAGTCCCAGCTCAGCATGGTATGAAGGACCTGGTCCAGCCCCAGCCCCCAAGTCACCAGTAATGGCCACCACCACCTGAACACTGCCACAATACAGTTCCCAGGAGTGGGACTGAGGGATTATTGTACCCACTATATAGATGAAGACATTAAGGCCCAGAGTGGTGGAATAACTCTTCTCCATGTCATCTGGCCTATCAATGGCCCACCTGGGGCCAAAAGCTATGCACCTCACAGGAAGCATGCCCAGAGACCTGGAGAGATAGCAGTGACCACCTTCGATGACTCTCCTTTTTTCTCTCTTGCTCACAGAAAGCATCCCTGGAGGGCAGCCTGGAGGAGACCAAAGGCCGGTACTGCATGCAGCTGTCCCAGATCCAGGCGCTGATCAGCAGCGTGGAGGAGCAGCTGGCCCAGCTGCGCTGTGAGATGGAGCAGCAGAGCCAAGAGTACCAGATCCTGCTGGACGTGAAGACACGGCTGGAGCAGGAGATCGCCACCTACCGCCGCCTGCTGGAGGGCGAGGATGCTCAGTGAGTGCCAGGCCCCCCAGCCCTGCCCCACAGACCCTTTGGCCCCCTGCTGCTCCCAGTTCATCTAATTGCTCTGCCTTTTCTCCCCCACAGCTTCTCCCAGAACACATCCGGCCAAACCTATTCTTCCCGAGAAGGTAAGGCTTCTGCGAGTTCTGGGTACTCCAGAGCACCACAGCCCATCTTCTCTCTATGTGGGACCAGCTTAGATCCCAGAGCATTTCTGACCTCTTCTCTTCTCTCCACAGTATTCTCCTCCTCATCCTCTGGCCACCAGACACGGCCCATCCTCAAGGAGCAGGGCTCATCCAGCTTCAGCCAGAGCCAGACCTCCAAGCATTGAGCTGCCTCTCCAGAGCCCCCTGCCCTGCCGCCGGCTCCGATTCCCGAAGGCCTGGGTCAGGCCCCTGTTCTCCCAGCGCAGTTCCCAGCTGTCTCCCCTCCCTCTCTGCTGGTGGTGGGCTAATAAAAGCTGACTTTCTGGTTGATGCAAACCTTTGTGGTCTCTGTTCTTGAACTGATGGGAGGGGAGTTGAAGGTGCCTCCCAGGAACCTTCTGGGACCTCACAACCTGGGGACCTCTCTTCCTGAAAGTCCTCCATGCCGTCTCAGGAGTGGGAGGTGGGATGTAGGATGGGAGAGAGCGCATACATGTTACAGAGGTACTTTCCTTAGACCCTCCTGGCAACTCTGTGGGCTGGGTGCGGTCAGGCTCATTTTTGGAATGGAGACAACCCTGGGATTCAGAGAGGTTAAGTAACTTGCATGAAGTCACACTGATGTAAGTGGCATGACTTCAGTTCGCACCCAGGGCTGCCTAGCTTCAAAGTCCACGCCTTTCTTTTATACCGCTCTAACTTTTTAGATAGTTTAACCCAAAGACACCAATGCTTGAGCTCTCAGCCCTACCCCTGTCTCCTCACATTTGCACACAATGATTTTTGTGTTGAATGGTGGAGGGAGAGCCTTCTGCCTTGGGGATGGTGGCCAGAGTTGTTAGAACCCTTCTTCTCCCAACCCGCTCCTCCTCATCACCCGCCTCAACTTCTTCCTCAGCCTGTGAATCGAGCACCGACGAGTCCCCTAGGAAATACCTGCCACCCGCACACACCTTTTCATCCCCACAACCACCACCACATTCAGATTCGCTTCCTCTCTCCCTAGAACTGGCCACAGCCTACTCGCTGGGGCCTCCTGCTGTCCATCTCTCCCACTCCCATTTCTGCCTAATGACCTTCTTAACAAGAATGTGGTCAAGGTCAAGAACAAGGATGTGATCAGGATGCCCCTGCTTCACCGCCCGTGATGTTCCCTGTCCCCTCTGATGCTTGGCCCTTGTGTCTCAACCCGCTTTGGTGCCTTCCCGCCCTTCCCTGCCCTGCTCGCCGTGAGTCAGCCACACCTGTGTAATTTCAGTGCCCCACACCTCTCAGTTACCACAGGTGCCATCCATGCTGAAAATTTCTCATTAAAAAAAAAAAAATCAAAGTTATGTATGGATAACATAATAAGACTTGGTATGAAAAAGAGCCACCCTAGTTCGTGTCCCATGCCACCATCCCCGCCTCTCACTTTTAACTCTTAGCTGCTATTTTTGGCATTTACCCCCTTATTTCCAGCAGTGAATACTACCGTTTCTTGATTTTTTTTTTTCAGTTTTAGTTTTTAATTCCTTGACTTCCTGCTTTAAAAGTTGGAGACTTAGCTCTCTTATACCGCCTGACTCCTTTCCACTTTTTTTACCCTCTCAAAATATTCCTCTTTTCATTAGATAAATGTTTACTATTTATATTATTATGACTATTTAAATATTATTCATCGTCAAATTACGTTTTCCACTACGTTAAAATTCCTTGGAATAAATATCTCTTTTTCAATTTGTTTAGGTTTTCTATCACTAATGTATTCTCTCATTCACTGCCAGAAGTATACATCTCCTCTTGATAGGTTAAATGTTGCGTATTCCATCGTTATCATCTTCTCAGGGATGTCCCTCCTGGAGCTCTCTGTTCCCCTGCTTCGGTCTGTCTGGCTGCTCTCTAGGCCTGCTGTCACCCTGGAATGTCCTTCCAAGATGCCCTGGGGCATCCCTTCTTTCTGCGTTGCATCCCTCGTTTCCTGGATCCCCTGTCTTCCTTTTTTTAGTGAAGCCCATCCTCTAGTAGTTTCTGGGAAAGGATTCATAGACCCTTTCTGTCTGAAAAGATTGTTCGTCTACCCTCAGTCTTGACTGATATTTTGGCTGGGTATAGAATTCTAGGCTGGAAATAATTTCCCGTCAGCATTTTAAAGATATTGTTATACTGTTTCCTGGCATCCAGCGTGACTATTGAAAAGTCGAATGCTATTTTGATTCTAGATAGTTCGTCCAATTCTATTTCCACCCCTTTCTGCAATTCTTCTCTTTCTCTCTAGCAGGCTGAAATATCACATGTTCTGCCTTGATGTGGCTGTCTCTTCACCTGCTGGACTGGGCACTTAACAGAATCTTTCGATGTGGAAATTCATGCTCTTCGGTGCTGGGAAATTTTCTTGAATATTTATGTGATGATTTCCTCTCCTCCATTTTCTCTCATCCTGGAACTCCTTTTTTTCCCTATGTATTTCATTTCACTTGTCTTTTTTTGACTGTCTGAGATTTAATTACACTATGCCATCTAATCTTATTATTTTGAGTTTAACTAAACTGATGTATTTTTAATACCTTATAGCTCTGGATATTTCTTTTTATAGTCTCTTGTTTTTGTGTCAAGATGGAATATTTAAGCCTATTCCCTCATCCCTTTAAGCCTATTAATCATGGCTTTAATAATTCTTCTATTTAGTATATAGAACATAACTACAACCACACTGACCGTCTATACCATTTTGCATTCAGTTTTTATTAATATTATAAGAGAAGCACTTCCTTGTATTATTAAAAGTGTTATACAGTAGTCCTTCCTTATCTGTGGGGGACATGTTCCAAGACCCCTAGTGGATGACCGAAACCACGGATAGTACCAAACCCTATATATACTATGTTTCTTCCTATACATACATACCTACGTTAAGTTTACAGCTTCTGTTTGGCATATCCGAATTGCCAGCATCTCTACTCTTGTGTTTTGGGGCCATTATTAAGTAAAATAAGGGTCACTTGAACACAGGCACTGCGATACGACAGCCAATCTGATAACTGAGATGGTGGGTAGTGTATGCAGTGTGGATATGTTGGTTAAAGAGATGATTCATTTTCTGGGCAGGATGGAGCAGGACGGTGAGAGATTTTATCACACTACTCAGAAAGGCACACAATTGAAAACTTATGAATGGTTTATTTCTGAAATTTTCTATTTAATATTTTTGGATAGTAGTTGACTGTGCATACTGGAAGCTGTGGAAAGCAAAGCTGAGGATAAGGGAGAGACCGCTGTACATTTTTAATGCTGTTTCCCCTATTTTTTGGAGGGGGGTGGTGCCATGCAACATAATGCAGCAATGAACATCTTTATGCAGAAAGCTTTTACAAATAATTTGCATTATTTCCTTATGCTGGATTCCCAGAAGTACAGTGACTAGGTGAGCAGATAACGGATGCTTTACAGTTCTTGATTTATGTTGCCAAATTGATTTAAAGAGGAGATGTACAAATTTACATAATTTGCTAGCGGGTAATGGGAGTGCCTATTTCAAAACATGCTCACCAACTTTGAGTATTATCTTTTAAGGATCTCTTTAGGAAATGGATTTGTGTGTCACTTTTAAAGCTGACGTTCTGGAAAGATCCTCACACTCAGATGTACTTCTGACCTGGGTTACTAAAACTCGGAGCTGGAGTATATGCTTCTGAGTTGTTCATTAATGAGATGTTGAAACAGAGGATGTAGAACACTCTCTGCCTGGGCGTGGGGAGAGATTTAAACAAAGCCGTTTGTGTCAGTGTCTTCAGAGTGCGTGCCACCCATCAGTGGACCCTGAGGAAACTCCACGAGAAAGGCCTCTATTTGATAGATGGGGGAACAAAGGTCCCAAATAATTAAGGGGAAAAAAAACTTTCTTGGGGTCTCCCAGCTAGTTAGCAAAACTCCCTCTTCTCAGGAACCACATTTCTTCTGTTTGTTGCTGTATCCTGTAGACACAAAACATGAACCCCTTTAAAGAAGGACAATATCGAAGCAGAAATGTGTTTCCCCTTTAATAACGGAACCAGCTTTTCCATCTGGAAATGCCTTGCTGCCTGGATTTCTCAGGCTAAGATCCAAGTCCCAAATCAGACTGCATTTTGCTCTTGGCTGGCCTGGCACTGAGATGAGGAGGCTGAGTGCTCTCGAATGTTCCTTGTAACTCATCTACTTTGAACACACCCTCAGATTCTTTATGCTTGACTTAGTGTCAAAGTTTGTGAAATATTGTTTCAGGTAATTAAATAGAGTGCTAAAACAATGGCTGGAGTGAGAATTAATGATAGCCTATAAAGTGTATCTGCTGAGGTAAATGAATTAGTGGTTAGCTCGTAAGGTTTTGCTTTCTTTGGGCCCATTGTTCCTGAGAGCTATAAAAAGCATGGCCACCCTCCTCATGAGATAAGGGATTTCTTACCTTTGTCTTCTCACTGCTGTAGCTTGTTTAAGACCTTCTGATAACTCCCTGAAACATAAACATGAATGAAGCTTTCTGTTTTGCTTGTCTGCCACAATCCTAGACAGCACACAGTCTATAAGGGACACTCAATAAAGATTTGTAGAGTCGAACCCTGGGTTTGGTGTTCATGGAACATCTTCAGAAGCAAATTTCTCAAGGACAGGCTTGTTTAAATTCCACGTGCCTCTTACCATGTTGGTACAAGGCAGCCACCATTGTAGGTATTGATGAGCTGCCATGGAAGAGAAAGCAAGTATCTTCTTGGCACACAGCCTGGAAGGGACACTCAATAAAGATTTGTAGAGTCGAACCCTGGGTTTGGTGTTCATGGAACATCTTCAGAAGCAAATTTCTCAAGGACAGGCTTGTTTAAATTCCACGTGCCTCTTACCATGTTGGTACAAGGCAGCCACCTTTGTAGGTATTGATGAGCTGCCATGGAAGAGAAAGCAAGTATCTTCTTGAGCCATGAAGGGACAAACCAGGTCTGAGGCATCAAGCATGTGCAGCTATTTATCTGGCCTTCCTCTGATGGGCTGTGTGGTCACTTCTAGGGGATGATGTAGCTTTGCATCCCTCCTTCCCCAATTGTTCAGGACCCCTACAGGGCTTCAAGCAGATCCAGGAGTGTTAAAGCAAGGAGAGTCCCTTTTTGACTTGGCTCTCTGTTAACCCATTGTTGGGATCCAAAGGTCCCTGTTTTTCCACGATCACAGGGTTGTCACATATAAAACCGATATGTTTTGGCCTTTCCAGCTTTGATCTGCCATACGAATAGTGTGACAACATAAATGGAAATGTGAAAAAATAA